CTTTTGACTTTACAGGTTTCCCAAAAGTGTTTAAGAATTTGACAATGTGCTGAGACTTATGTTTTGTTTTGGCCAAGGCCAAGCTTTTTGAGTTTTTTAGGAGGGTCTCTTGTTGCAAAGTCCAGCAAGTCTTTTCACCTCATCTCACCAAACCTGCCTCTTTAATTGCCTACCACAGCCCAAGGTGTCCCTCACATCCCATTTCCATTTCATGTTACCATACACCATTCTCACAACAAATTGTGTCTCACTGGAAATCTCAGAATTCACCAACATCCTTTATCTTTAAAAGCCTGCTGTGCATCTGGACAAGTACTATCAGTCCAGGGCTATCCTATACAGCTCCTGACATGTGCCCCGGACATGGCAGATGGGGGGAAATTGGTGTCCCACTTTGTGGGGCAGGGATCTGAAGGTCCTACTGAATTGGGAAGGGGATGAGGAGTACAGAGGAGGGGATTCCTTTTCTTCCAGGACCAGCAACGGTGGTCATAACACCAGAGCATGCCAACCTTGTCTGGGGTTGCCACCCAGGTTGAAGACCTTTCAGGCGTCTGGAGGAATAGGGAGCAGCATTTTCGCCAGCATTTTCTCTCTGATACCTCACACTCACTCTGTTAATGTACACAGCCCTCACTAAGGCGCACGCTCAACCACTCCCACTCTGGCCTGCAACACCTTCCGTCACTTGCTGTCATGCATACCAAATCCCCACAACACTAACCCTGCCTGCTCCCTGCGCTGCCTAGTCACTCACTTGAGACACCTCCCCATTTTGGTCTCCCTTCATATCTAACTCTCTCTCATTTCAGAAAGGAAAAAAGTCCCCAGTACAGCAGCTAAAGTCAAGACATCATTTGACTCCTCAACACTTACGAGAAGAGCAGCTTGATTCTGACCATCCAGACCAGCACCTGGACTGGTATTGGAGGCCACCCATTGCCTTACTGAGTGGGAAGCTCCGAGCAAAGACCTGCTGACAACTATGACAAGCTTCCTGGCTTTGTCTCTGCACCAAATAGTAAGGCAAGTCAATGGTAATGGGAGCATGGCATCCCTGGCTGGGAGGGAAAAGCACACAAAGCCAAGACAAGGCAGGGATGCTGTGAGCATTCAGATCGGTTCAGGTTGAGTGAGCACTGTGACCATTGAGTGAAGAGCTTGGAGACACAGCCTGGTCCAGTCCATGTGCTGGGTGCATGTCCCTGAGCACACAGTATCCTCGGTACAGTATTACAATGATCATTGCTGGTGCAGTCCACAATTTTGCACTGAAGCGCTGAGGTGTAGATGAAACTTGTAAGTGAATTGGAGATGTGCCATGAAGGATCTTAGAGGCTGGCACACACCAGATACCAATACCCATGGATGTTATGTGCATGTGGCCAGCATCTGTACAGCATATCCTGAGACACTGGTGCCCCCTGTCCAATGTGTTGGCTGTTTGGAGCACGTGGCAAGCTGAATCCACCAGGTGCTTGCTGTGGTTTACTATCGAGTTTTCCCCGACATTGAGTTTGTTTGGCAAGTTGATTGGGTGGAAAGCTGAATATTAATGAAGTGAGTTGTGGCATTAGCAAGGTGTTTAATAGGAGTAATGAGAATCAATGGAATTCATCGTTGCCCAGACAGAATCTCACCACACCACCCATCAACAGCATAGAAAATGGACTGAAATGACACTGATACCTGCCACACTTGTCACCTGATCCTGCCACAGACCATGTCACTCAGCCCCCTCAATTCCATCCAATGAATTTGTATATTAAATATCACCTTCAAGAATTATTGCCATGTCATTTTCTGGTATGCTTTGCGAGCCACATTGCTACAAAAGTCACACTTCCAGCAATTCTATCAGCTTAATAAATCTAGTCTGAATGTAAAGTCACATAGTCCTATCGGATCATTAAAGAGAGATGCCTAGTGATGGCTTAGCCTGAAGGTCGCTACACCTCAGGCGAAGGGAGAGTTTGAGAAGGAGAGTCCTTCACGAATTTACTAGATTTCTGAAAATGTCTGAATGTACTAAATTTCAAAATGCCATCATAGAGCTGTGAAACTCTTTTGCAAAAGGTCATGAACTGAAGATCCAGAGTTGCCTATCACTCATATTGATACGCCAGCACCGAGCCCATGATAAGATGGGCTGCTGGGCATTCAGTAGAGGCAAAGAAACTTCACCCAATGAAGCTGACAGTGTCTTGGAATTCCGCGCATAGTGTCATGATGTAATGTGTGAGTCAGAACTCCATGGCACCGTGCCTGAGGATGAACATGAATATCAGCACAAAGACATACAGGGCCCCAGTCTGCACTTCACACAAAAATCCTCATGTCCGCAGATGACTTGTCATATCTAAAACGTAAGAGCCAGGATTAAGACCAATATAAGACTATGTACAATGTGAGAGGACAGAAAGTCCTCCCACCAAATCAATGCTGATATTTATTCATTCAGCTGAATCTCATATTAATGCTCATCTACAGTCTCTGTTTGAACCTCCTTCATTCCATTAGTGGTGCACTCAGCTGTCTTAACCCATGGTTCTGGAATTCTTTCCTTAAATCTGTCAGTCTGTCCACTTTTAAGATGCTCATGAAATCTCTTACCCTGACCAGGATATTGGATTCCTGGCTTTAACGCCTCCTCATTTGGCTCAGTGCTGATTTTTTTGATTACAGTCTTCATGGATTATTATATTATGTTAAAATTGCTTTGTTAACACAATGTATTTTCATTATTGTTTAAGCAATTATCTCACTCCCTTCTTAAAGAATTTACAGAATCTGCTTCACAATTGGCTCGAAGCAGAGAATATAAAAATGCCATTCCTGATCTCCATCAAGAAATCCTCTAATTTCTCCTTTTTTTTGGCCTTGGCATTATTCTTCCAGCATATTTTGCATGCTGCATTCTATGATGTGGGTGTGTTTTGCTGCATCCTCATTAACTGTTACCTGATGGAAATATCACTTTCAAGACCAACAGACTTTATAGAAAGTAAGATTGCTCTGAAATGTAATCACTGTGGTAATGTTGGGAATACAATTTGTACCCTGCTAGAATGATGTGCATCAAGTCCATGGGGCATAAACCCATACTTCCCCAAACAGGAGCAGTACACGCCTGTGCAGCGTAAAGTGTCCCTGAACAGATAGTGCACATAAAATGCAATCTCAGGCACAGTCAACAACAAGCCGATCAGCTGATGCTATAAGGCCATAAACCATCCAAAGCAATTCCTCACATAGCTTACAGGAGAAATTGACTTGAAAATGTGGCTGCTTTGCCTTTAGATAACTCTTTAAGGAAGACCAGGAGAGGGAGTCATCAGGAGTAAGGGTAGAGGTAGCTGGAATCATTAACAATGGATAGCAATTGGAGGCTGAATTGGGAGGATGCCATTGGATTCATTTCTGAGGTAGAGTTTGAGGTGGTCTAGTTGGGATCATCCAAATATTTAGAACATGAAGTCCAGAGGAGCTATTCCACTCATATACTTTGAACAACTGCTTTGTTGGTTGTTGCCTGCAGTGGTCCCTTTAACTATGTATAGGCCAAATATAGATGAACAATAATCAATAAAAAGAGTCTCTGGTCCATCCATCCAGCCCGAAGCACAAAACTCTGATGCCTTGGGTGCTCAGAGCAACCAGTTTTACAGAGATCCCTTAAACATGTGTTAGGCTACTCATTTGAATATGGCCTTACAAGAGCAACAGGGATGGGCAATCAATGCTGATCTAACCAATGAAACTCAAATCCTCTGAATGAATACCTAAAATAAAACATGCAGGGCCTAATGATAGTTTGAAGATTGGGTCCTGGGTGCTTCTTAAATTCCTACACCAATTGGGCAGACAGTGTCTCCAATTAGCTCATAATCAAAGTCTACATTCAGCTTTTGTGCCTATTTAGACCAAAAGGCCATTAAAAATAGGAACAGGAGTAGGCTGTTTGGCCCCTTGAACCTGCTTTGTCATTCACTAGGATCATGGCTGATCCAACATTCCTCACATCCACTTTCCTGCCTTTTCCCCATAATTCCCCTACTGATCAAGAATCTATCTCAGCCTTAAATATACACGAGGACTCTGCCCCCAAGGCAAGGAGTTCCAAAGATTCTCAACCCTCTGAGAGAATAAATTCCTCCTCATCTCAGTATTAAATTGGTTGCCCCTTATTCTGAGATTGTGCTCTCTGGTCCTTAAACTCTCCCACAAGGGGAAGCAAGCATCCTCCATTTACCCCATCAAGCACCTTAAAAAATCTATATGTTTTAACGAGATCACCTCTCATTCTTCTAAATTCAGATGAGTTTAGCGTCCATACTAGGGATCATCATAGTGAACCTTCCTTGAACTGCATGAAGAACAGGTACTGCACCATCAGTTTCTCAAACAATGACGCTCATACCAGTTTTCTGCTCTGTGCGCATATAGTACACTGATGAGACTCTGTTACAACTATTTTAACTAGTATTTAAACAGGTTTTCAGGCATCCTCGCTGTATTGATACACTTTGGCTTGGTTTGTATGCATTCTCCAAAACCCTAAATGTGGATAACAAGTAGCCATTTTCTTTAGTTATCTATACTGCTGTTTTGGGAGTATCAAGTATTAGATTGCATTAATTGTTGCTGCATACAGACATTTCATAATAAACTTTATAATTCTCCAACCCATCAACAATGACAAATGGCAACCAGAACAAGCATGAGAGAGAAATATTGGGCAAGTGATTTCAAGAAATGAAAACAAATCAGAACTGGGAAAGAAGAAAAGAACAAAGGGATATCCTGAAATGTAAGTGTAAGTGAGAACGTACACAATCAAGCAAATAACAAATTATAAAGGGAAGGAAAACAGAAAAAATTAATTGAAGAATTTAGTAGCAAAGTAATCTACAAGGTAACTAAGTTTAAAAAATAAGTTCTTTACAAGGACAAACTGAATTGGTCAATTCAATAGAAAGGCCCGAGTGTGATGTACTAACCTGGTGGCCCCATAGCTCCTTTTGCTCCTGGCAATCCAGCTGGACCACGCAAGCCTGGTTCACCCCTTGGACCTGGAATAGTCAATAAGTTTTTTTTAAAAAGAGAAGGATGCAATGCTTATGTGAATTAAAGAGATCATACTTTATTAAGGCAATAAAAGTCTTCCATGGTACAGTACATTAAAACAACAACAGTTGGAATATAACTCAGGTAAACAACTTGAATTTTAACTTGATTGACCTGAGGTAGAAGAAAAGATCCACCAGGTTCATCAACAAGTGCACTATTCAATTTGAAAATGGATCAATTTTATCCACATCCATTCCTCCCACAAGCTTACAATGGCAACACCGGTGACTAGCTTAGGTGAGCAAAAGTGCTATGCAGTTTATTGCTGAAATAAGGTTTAATCCCTGATTCTCTCCTCAATACCAGCAGTTCAAGGTAAAAATGAACTAAATGTTCTCATGGTGATTTGGAGGGAAAGGGAAATGGCGGAGAAAAGTGAAAATCAATAATCACTGTCTGATACATCCTAAGATCATAAGACCATCAAGTCTACTCCGCCATTCAATCATGGCTGATAAGTTTGTCAATGCCATTCTCCTGCTTTCTCCCCGTAACCCTTGACGCCTTGACAATCAAGAACCTATCTATCTCAGTCTTACTCTCCTACCAATGGAAACATCTTCCCAACATCCACTCTGTCCAAGCCATTCAGTGTCCTGTAAGTTTCAATTAGATCCCCGCTCATCCTTCCAAACTCCATCGAGTGTAGGCCCATAGTCCTCAAATGTTCCTCATATGTTAAGCTTTTCATTCCTGGGACAATTCTTGTGAACCTCCTCTGAACCCGCTCCAGGGCCAGTACATCTTTCCTGAGATATGAGGCTCATAACTGCGCACAATACTTCAAATGTAGCCTGACCAGAGCCTTATAGAGCCTCAGAAGTACATCCCTGCTTTTATAATCAAATCCTCTCAAAATAAATGCCAAAGTTGCTGGATATTTGTCTCATAAAAAAATGAAACACTGAGAAATGCCTGTGATCATCTTTTTCTAGGTTCAGTTGACACATATTTTGAATTAATTAATACTTAAAGAGCATACACTGACTATGTCAAAACATGACATGGCTCCCATTGAACTATATCATTGCAATGTCAATAGGCAGGTTTATGCAATGATTTCATTAGATTGTTAATTTTCTTGAGCTCCACGCTGGCATAACCTAATTATTCACAAGATTTTGACGATGAAAAACTGGTGTTCTGGTATCCTCTGTTTTGTACTATGAATCCAGTTGCAATGCACTAGAAGGATCATGAAAACACGATATCAATACTGAATCCAATTTTAAAAATTACTAAGGCATGCAGAATTTGGCATTCCGGGGCACTCTGTTAGATACAGATACATACTGTTTCAGGGATTGTTTTGCCTCTGAACTTCTTCACTAAAGGCTGTTAACCTACTACGAATTTTTGTTATGGTATGCGTACCTTCAATTGTAACAGTTGAATTTGTGAGTCCGTTTATTTCAATTATAGAGTCATAGAGTCATACAGCACAGAAAACAGACCTTTGGTCCAAACTGTCCATGCCGACCATAATCTCAAATTAAACAAGTCCCATTTGTCTGCATTGGCCCATATCCCTCCAGACCTTTCTTATTCATGAACTTATCCAAATATATTTTAAACATTGTAACTGTACCTGAATCCACCGCTTCCTCTAGAAGTTCATTCTATACACAAACCACTATCTGATTAAAAAAAATTGCCCCTCATGACTTTAAATCTTTCTCCTCTCAGTTTAAAATATGTTCCCTAGTCTTGAAATCCCCTAACGCAGGAGAAAGACACCTGCCATTCACCTTATCTATACACCTCATTATTTTATAAACATCTATAAGGTCACTCCTCAATCACCTACGCTCCAGTGAAAAAAAGTCCCAGCCTATCTAACCTCTCCATGTAACTCAGACGTCCATTCCCAGCAACATCCTGGTAAATCTCTTTTAAACTCTCTCTAGCTTCATTCTTCCTGTAACATGGAGACCAGAACTGAAATGAACACATTTATTAAGACAATCTGTAAACTGGTCTGTGTTTAAAAACAGTCAGTCATTCTGAAATCAGCTTGGTAATGTAGCAGAAGAAAATACACAAGCAGTTACTGCAATCAAGATCAGTGGTACTCCTTGCTACACATACCCTGCCACTGATGGAAAAAAAAATGAAAAGAGATCATTTCCATTTGAAATAACAAGGTGTAGAGCTGGATGAACACAGC